ATATTAGATATAAATGTCTAGTAGCCAGCCACACAGACACAAGGCTTAGTATTCATTTATTAGTAGGATACGTAAGTGACACACAACTACACATGTTTGCGCGCATGAAATCGCGGGAATAAGCAGAAATATTATTGTATATCATCATAGTTTGTTGTAATATGAGTTAAATATTTTGGAATAGGCTTTATAAAACTGTTTGATTTGATGAATATATCGCCATATCGGATATTAATATTGGAATGTTTACTAATACAAATATTTAGCCAATGACGACTGAGCAAAATGATGCTTCATACGTCCAAAAGGGACGAGATGAACACGTGATTGTACTCAGGCAGACGAACGTTCTGCTTTTGGCTCTGCCGTAATCAGGTAATGGAGTTACAGATAGATTGGAACACGAACGATTTCCTCTTAGTAAGCTTTCCAGTTCTCACACTAGAACGTTATGAAGGTACGAATTGCTGTTTGAGCAAGTATTTACAAAGTGCTTGCAACTATATGAGATTTGTCTGCGAGCTACTGTCTGCACTGTTGGTGTAAATTGACATTATTTGTTACCAACGACTTACAGTCTGTATTGTATACTTGTATAAATATATAGGTTTAATATAACCACTTCATATTTTTAAATGGCGTATTCACATCCACAACTGTGTGTGCGACTTGAAGAGGCTTTATGGCGTAAAGTTGGTTCGGTTGCGAGCCTCCCACGTGTTTACCGCCACCGCTCCTTACTCTACTTTCGTTACGTTCCTATTTTATGAAAATTGAATTGGTTTCCAACTCCTTCCGAGAATTATCTATTGTTTAAAGAGTCGTTCGTTTGCTCATGGTATAAGAACAGATAAGGACAGACAATGATGGCAAAATAATTGTGAACTTTGAGGCTTATTATCAAGTTGATAATAATAATGTTTTCGATTAGGCATTTGTGTAAGTACAAGTGCCTATACAACATTGAATATGGGTATACACATTTTTAGACTTACCAGGGAATCTGCCTTATGATTTCAGGTGTAATTTGATTGCCAATAAACAAATAAATATAATTATATGCCAGAAGCCGAAAGAGGCACCCTGATGGCATGACCTACCGCCTCTCAAACAGAGGCAGTGAGTTGGAATCCAGGTTCACACCACTGAGTCTCTAGGAGTCTACGTGCAAAATTTAATTTACAATTTTCCTTGACCTTTTCAGTGAAGGGTTATCATTCCATCATGATAAAACCTACACGGCGAAGAAGGTTAACAACCCTTTGAAAACGTGTGAAGTTGTGAAGTCCCCAACCCGCATAATCCGCCGACACACGGCGTGGCAGATTGTGGTCTAAATTCTCGCCTGAGAACGTTATGATCACGCTCTAAAAATATTTTATTTAGATACAAAAACACAGTATAACAGGTATTCATAAATTGGAACCACTAGCAGAAATATCGTATTTTGAAAGGAAAATGTTCACACTTGATTATTTTAATACTGTTTGTAAAAACAAGGCTGGACGCTTAAACAAGACTTCTTCATAAATAAATTAAAGAGAGGAGTTTCCTTTATCATCATCATCATCATGCAGCCATACGACGCCCACTGCTGGGCATAGGCCTCCCCCAACGATCTCCACGACGATCGGTCCTGCGCTGCCCGCATTCGTCGGCTTCCCGCTACCTTTACCAGATCGTCGGTCCACCTGGTGGGAGGGCCTGCCCACTGAGCGTCGTCCGGTGCGCGGTCGCCTTTGAAGAACCTTTCCGCCCCAACGGCCCTCGGTTCTCCTAGCTATGTGCCCCGCCCACTGCCACTTCAGCTGAGCAATTCTTCGAGCTACGAGTATGTCGATTACCTTAGTTCTCCTACGGATTTTCTTATTTCTGATTCTATCACGTAGGGAAATACCGAGCATCGCTCTCTCCATTACCCGCTGAGTGACCTTGAGCCTTCTTTTGAGGCCTATAGTGAGGGACCACGTCTCTGATTCATATGTGATCACTGGCAACACAAACTGGTCAAAACCTTCGTCTTGAGACACTGAGGTAATTTGAATGCAAAGATTTTTTTCCAGTTCTTTTATCAGGAAATCCGGAATTCGGAAAAGTAGTTCTATTGCATTTTCTACTGCAATTTTTTACATGGCACCATTAGAATTACTTTAAAATCCAACTTCGGCTTCCTAGGTCAGTAGTCTGTCCTACTATATAGTAAAACCATTTTCGGAAATCCAGAATTCGAAAAAATAATTAAGTAATATTTGGTGGCTTTAACAACTCTATGTCGCTCTATGTGACTTTGTCTACACATGTATCTATATATGTGGAACACCTTTTTCCGACCTACGGTAATGACTTAATACGGAAATGTAATTTTAGAGGAACAGACAAATAGATTAACAAAAAATAATGTACGTACCACGAGTAGAATGTACGCCATATAATGCTGGTTCTAAATATAAAAAAACAATGTTTTCAGTTTCCCAAATGAAACTTCTCGAACTTCGTCACTTTATGATAGGTGCGTTATGATCGTATCAATGATGTCGCAATATCGCAGTGTTGCTCATTTTTAACCGACTTCAAAAAAAGGAGGAGGTTCTCAATTCGACTGTTTGTTTTTTTTGTATGTATGTTACGCGATAACTCCGGCGAGAACTTGATATTTGTGAACCGATTTTGATAATTCTTTTTTTGTTGGGAAGAAGGTTTCTCTATGTGGACTCATTTAAATTTGAAGAAAATATTCCACCTCTAAGGGTGGCAAACTAAACGATGAATGACTTTTGATGTCGGGTTTTTTAGTACTCCGTACTGAGTTTGCTCAATGTGCCCACAGCACATGTTACGAGTATGACGAGGATGTACAACGGAGATTGTCGGCAATTTACGTTGAAACCAATAATAAGGGAATGCAATCTCCTCCGAAAGCATTTCCACGAGATGCACTTGCGCCGACAGAATCGTAAACATCGGGCGTCTGACGAGGTCGTTTGTGCCTACAAGCGACGACAAGTTGACTGTGCGCCGAGCACATGCACATTTTATGAGCCATACCACGGGTATTGTCAGCTTTTATGAGCTAGGCTAATTCACCGAGCTAGCGTTTGCTAAAAAACTACCAAATCAGCTCGAGTAATCTTCTCTTTACATGTATCATGAATGAAATACTATTGCTTATCTTGTAATAATAAAGAATGGATAGAGTTCCTGTTCTACGGCGTAGCATTTCTCTATGTTTTGGCGTAGCATGTCTCTACGATTTGGCGTAGCAAATGTACAATGTTTGAAGCAAGTTACCAAAGTGAAGTCCTTGTATAATTTATTTTTATTTTTTGTTACAGTTAGTTTACATATATTTATACATATATTATTTTTAATTTTCTTTTCCCCGATTCACAGATAAAATTTAATGTTTAAAACTTACGTTAATAAAATAACAACTATGAATACCGAAAGAGGAGAAATTAAACAAGACTGTAAGAACTTGATAATTTTATATTCAACTGTTCAGGTAACATAATATGTACAGTAAACGTAGGCAGTGACAATGAACATAAGAACGATTGACACGCGACAGTACAACATTCGTTGAACTTTATTTACACAGAAATCACAGGGTTATTCATTTACCACATGTAACTTAAATTACGGTACTTACCATAAATAAACTACTGATAAAACATATACCATGTGTCTATAACGTCGACAACAAACCTCGAGAAGCTTGAATTTCATTGTTATTTTACTTTTAAACTAAATTTATTCTTCCAATTTGTGACGATCCGTGTGACTTTAAAAACAATTTTAGGAATTTATGTTTACGAAACTTATGCCACGACTCTTATTAGGTTTAACGCCTTGATGGTGCCCCTCTTGAATTGGCACCTCTATTTCATAGACAACCTGTTTTACAGAAAAAATACGAAATGCAACGTTTAATGTACCCGTTTTTATGTTATACTCGCATTGGTATAAGGTTTCATAATTTATTCATACTTGCTTTAACAAAAAAGACAGAATGTGTGGTTTTACATTGACAGAGGAAGATACTGTATCATCGAGGTGTTGTATTGTTTGACAAATTGTATATATGTATGTCCTTTATATCAAAATTGGGTTTCGTTTTTAAAAGTCAATCAATGAAGTTTATAATTATCTGTACTGTTTTTATTAGTCTGTATTTTTTAAGACCACGTTACTAAAAATGGGTGGAACGGCACGTATAATAATATGTTCTATTCATATCGAGTTCTTAGGTTTTCGCGATTGTTACACATAGGAAATGAAACTATTTTTCCGGATTTAAATCCGGATTTAAGTATATTTGTTTTTTCAAACAAAAGGACCTGGGAAGGACCCGAAACGTCGGTTTGTTTGAAAAAACAAATATACGCGATTTAAATCCGGAAAAATAGTTTCATTTCCTATGTTCTATTCAGTTTTTCATGTACAACTTTTAGATATCAATGCAGCAATCAAAGGTTTGTTTTTCGATTAATATTTCTTAATTTTAAAGAAAACCGAGGTTGAGACCGTTCTTTATTGGACCAATTTTATTTGGTCGTTTACACTAAGCAACGTAATCAGCAAAACAAAAGTAAGCGAAACCATCAATCAGCCCGTTGCCCTGTCAACTATATATGGCGGGACGGCGGCGTCATAAAAATTCTCAAATTAATATCTATATTTAACCGACTTCAAGAAAAAAGGAGGAGGTTCTCGATTCGACGGTATGTTCTTTTCTTTCTTTTGTGTGTTTATTACGCGATAACTCCGCCATTTGTTAACCAATTTTGATAATTCTTTTTTTTTTGTTGGTAAGAGGTTGGTGAGGGCACCTCAGTATTAGTCTCATTGAAATTTGAAGTAAAATATTGCACTTCTATGGGTGAACCGGGGATGAATAATAAAATTAATAATAATAAAAGTACCGGTTTCGCGCACTTTCCGGTAACTGATTTCAATAAAACTTGGCAAATAGATGTAATTCCACGAACCTTTGAAGTTGGGTTTTTTTAGTACACTGTAGTGAGATTATTATGCACATGACGTATTTATATAAAGTTACAAGCACAAAAAACAGTAGTTTGTTGATGAACGTGAATTACTTTCTGAGGACACATTTGAACACGAATACCAAGTTTTGAAACGAGTTAAAAAAATCAGTATCAAATAAAAAATATTATTAACAACTTCGCTTTCCACCAACAATTTACCAAATAGGCCTTGAATTTTAAATCCAAAGTACAAAACGCATAAAAACTATGTACAATTTGTTTCATTTAATTTAGCTATTTGATTCAAAACGTAGATTTACATTTAACAATTTGTTTGATATAATTCTCCTAGAGTTGCTTTCAGCAGTCTTTATTGTCATGTTCACACGTGTATTGTGAAATCTCGCCTCTCCTGCTCTTGTCGTTGTTGGTACCTGCAAATAATATAAAGCACTGCATTTTATAAACCGACTTCAAGAAAAGGAGGACGTTCTCGATTCGATTGCATGTTTTTTTATGTATGCTACGCGATAACTCCGGCGATAATTTGTGAACTGATTGATGATTCTTTTTTTGTTGGAAAGACAGTACCTCAGTAGTGGTCCCGTTTAAATTTGAAGAAAATATTCCACCGCTAAGGGTGGCCAACTAAGGGTGGGATGAATGAGTTTTGAGATCGGTTTTTTTAGTACCCTGTACTGACATTATTGCTCACATATTTATCAACAGAAAAAGATTTATGTAACAGGTAGCGACATCTTTCGAAATGTTTCCGAAATTGCCTCCTCATGATTACGTAAAAGCGTCATCTAAGTAGCTTTTACGGTTTCTTTCTTTAGGGTTGCGCTGGAACATAATTTCGAAGCGGTGTCACAAATCTCCAATAGATGGCAGTAGTAGGATATTTGTTCACTGGTAGAACCTCGCACCGTTTGAGGGGGTGACGGGCATATTGCCTGCACGACAGACCTCGAACTGGTGGGCGTGTGGTGTCGCCTGGGGCGACGGCGCTTGTCGTGTACGCGCTCGTGCCGCACTTGCACGCTGCGCGCGTCGCCCGATTCCGCGCTGGAGTCCGTCACGGCGCGGAACACCTCCTCTGCGAACAACGCGTTTCGGTGGCAGCAACTATACTTATTTCACGACGTGAAATGTCGTTAAAACTAGACAAAAATAAACAGGTACGTGCCATTCTAAAAATTTGGAGTTTAGCGTAATGAAACACTTTCGTAACGTAAACATTATACGCGCGATTTCTTGCCTTTCTTCGATAGTAATGATAACACGATTAAATCAGAAGGGTACAAAACACGAGCTCTCTTAACGTCTAACTTTCTTTTTCTCGGTCAAAAGACGGCAACGTGCCAATAAATATTTTTACTCTATACAAATATAATTACCCTTAGAAGGCGCGACGGGCATGCGGTAGGATGCGCTGCTGGAATTGCACTCCGCGCACGGCGAACCGCTCGACTCGGAATCCGATTCAGAGGGACGCACCATCAACGTCATCGCGCGCGACAGCGTATACTCGTCTGAAAACGAGACGTCTTCCGTTGACAAAGAACGGGCGTCTATAATCCGACAGTCCTTCGCAATTCACGCATAGGTGCCTTGTAGGATCTAGGAGGAATGCACTTGTAGGATCGTGAGCGACTCGAATTCCGAGAACACCCGCCGTGAAAACGGGAAACGCAACAATCGCCAAGAGAAACGACGAAAGGAACCACCGGGAGCGTACGATACCCGAGTTGGCGGGCGAGCGATGCTTGTGCGAGCGCAGCCGCTGCGGCGGCGCCGCGCCCAGCGCCAGCGCCTCGGCGCGGCCGAAGGTGCGCAGCGTGCCCGCCGCCAGCGGCTCCTCCGCGCGCTCGGCGCCCGCGCCCGCGCCGGCCGCCATGCTGAACGTGGCGTACGGGCTGATCTCGTACATCTCTGCGGCCCGGGCGGATCGGTCAACCGGAGCCGGGCTTTTGGCGAGCCCTGCGCACTCGGGCGGCACTACTACCTTGCTGCTCCTTCTTTCCGTTTGGATGTTTGATTGGCGAAGAGGTGTACACTTGTTGGCAGTTGCGTCGGTTGTCTCGCTTCTCCACCGACTTCTCCTCGTCCTCTGATATGTCTCCTTGTTCGTAGCCCTTCCTCAGGCAAAAAATCGACGGACTGTAATTTCGAGGTAGGATGTAAGGGTAGGAGCGAAGCTTAAACTAAAGTTAAAACGTTGGCTATTTTTATAAATTACTACCTTCTTCTCCACGCCAACCAGGCCAACAGCAGCAAGGTGGCTACTAACGCGCATCCGGCGGCCGCCAGCACGACTGTCGTATGCTCTGAACTAGTTTCGCCATCTGGTGGGAATTGTGCCGGCGCCGGTATGCGTTCTAAAAATGAACTTGATTGTATTTTTCTATATTTCGTGTTATTGAATTTATATCCCATACGTTCCTCGGTTTTTCAACAAAAATAAATTACCTCCATCTTCCGTCAAAGTGGAGAAATAATAGTTCCCAGGCGTGATCCCAGCAGCACTTGTGGCTATAATTTTTAACTGGTACCATGTAGCCGGTGTCAGTTCGCATAGCGTCATAGCTTCAGCAGCGGCCGCTGCGGGGACTGTCTGCGAGCGCCAAGCCCCATCTTCAATATTTCTTAAAGAAATGTGAAATTGCGTCAAAGGGCAGCCATTACTGTCCCATGTGAGCAGATTCAGACGTACGCATGTGCTGTTTGCGGAAATCAGGTCTTTTTCTGGCGCCGGTTTTGATCCTGTAAAAGCATGAATAAATGATATCCTTATATCTTATATCTTAAACATATCTTATACAAATTATACATTAAAATATAATATATATCTTAAAATATATCTTATACATTATATGTTATGT